ATGTAACGGCATCAAGTGTCGAGTACGAAGAACGGTATGCAGTTTGATGTATTCCGTCTTCGACAGACTCAGTGAAAACCCACGGTAACAAGCATCTCTCAAATAATTTGAGCATGACTAACGTGCAGGCGTTGAGACTTTACTTCTCAGGTTCATTTTTTGGAACGAGAGTTCTCTTGGCTAGTCTCGAAATATTAGGAATGTTTCCGCTTATCAGGCAGCCATTGAATATTTTAGACAATGGGGCTGAAAGGGCGTTCACACATAACTTGAGTACCACGGGGGATAGTTCATCCGGACCGGATGCTTTATTCATCTTTGTTTTCAGTAGCTGTTGAAGAACCGTGGCGGGTTCGATAGTTGGTGTTGACGTAGAACTGACTAAGTTTGGCAGGGCAATGCGCTGTGAAAAACTGGTCTGAACTCGGAATTTAGTCTTTCATCGTGGACAATTTCACTTTTGTGTTTATAGGTACCGCCACACAGGCGGTTGATAGCCCTCCACATGCCACGACAACTAGAGTTTCCCCGGGTAGTGTCAATGTACAGTTTGTTCAACCGATTTATTTCCGCTTTGATCGAAATTGTTAGCCGCTTGACATGGATTCTTTATCCTTATTTATAGACTTGTTCTTTCCGCCTGCGTAGCTGCTTGAGTAGCGGTGATGAGTATCTGTCTTTACGTATGAAGACCGTTTCTAGTGGGCAACATTGGTTAAAACAGAAATTAAGGTAGTCCGTAACATGTTCACAGAGGACAGAAGAGTTCTGATTGAGAAACACCGAAAACTCTGTGACGGCAATCATGGATCTTAGGTTCTCTGATCAACAATTTCTTTAACTCACTATCTTGTAAGGCCTTCTTAAAAATGTGTATCGGTTAGTTTTGCTGTATACAGTGGGACATACAATGTTCTCAACTGCTCAGGGGAGCACGTTTATGGACTTCAAAAAATTGCGGTGTTTTTGTAAAACGAAATCAAGTTGTGAATTGAGTCTGTTAGGAAAATGTACGTATACATGGGTGGTGGTGGCGCTGTGGTTTAGTCGCTGTCACTGGCGTGCTTTGGACCCTATGGTTCGAGGTTCGAGCCTCGCCGCCCCCACCCGACATTGGTGGTAGGCAGCTCTGCTGTCGTCCGGTTCAATACCACGCCTAACCTATCGGGGCCTTATGTGGTTCGCCACTCCAAGTCCCGGGGCTTAGGTTGCCAATTTCAACCACTGAGTAGCAGGTCCTCGTGACTGTGGGGTTTACCCCGTCTGCTGTTCATCACACCTAGGTGTGTGATAAAAAAGATACAAGTTATATCGATCCACTTGTACAATTTCACTAGCGATTTCTTCATGTAGCCACGATTCCTGAAGCATAATAATTCCCAGGTTTTTTACTCCTTTTTCCGTGTGATGTCTACTACCTCCTCGATTTTTTCCAACAGAGAACGAATGTTGCTTGATAAAATGAGAGGAATTTGCATTTGACTGGTACTGCTCTGTCTGAGACAGACTTGTCAACCTGCTCGATGTTTTCTCCTTCTGCCGCCTTGTGTCTTCATAATCCGCTTGAACTTATTTCTCACATTGCTGGAATATTCAACAAAAGGTGCAGTTCGAGCGATAACACATGAAGATTTCACAAACGTGTTCTTGTAGGATGGCATTTTGTTGTCCTTGAAATTGATAACGATGCGATTTGATGACGAATAAATCCACAAAAGTGTAAATATGATTTTCGAGCTACATGGTGCGGCCAAATTCCAAGGCCCTGCTCAGAATGTATTCTATTTCGTCCGTCAAGACTGTTCGCTGTCAAAAATCATTCAACCAAGTGATGACTCACTATTCTTGATAATTGTAAAATTCGAGTTATTCACAATGCTCGAGTTGTCAACCTGGAATTCGTCTGTGGTGTTGCTAATTAATGAAAGAATCCTACCAATTTGAATCCGATACTGGACCGTATCGCATGTGAAACTCATGCCGTCGATGGACACCTCAGAAACGACGATTTTAACAAGGCCTACACGCCCATCATGCTTCATTAACGTCATCGCTGAAACATAACAGGATATACCATCTATACATTGGACTGGTTCTAGAGAAGAAGCCAAGCTTTCTGGCAACGCCTCGCGCAACGGAGGTACTTCAATGGGATCGCAACCCTCCTTGGTTTCTCAGCGAAATAAGCTTCTGTACACAACTGTACATTTATTGAGCTACTGTTTGTCCTACCTGTATGTGCACTTGTGAAACGTTACCACTGAGATTTGATGATAAAAACTGATAACCTTCGACTACTGGTTAGGTTAGCTGGTATCATCGCGTTTGAAATCCACAGTCTGTCTAACGTTTGAGGATAGAGCGAGGTTATCTTTGTTTTACCAACGACGCCGTCTTCTTTTTTTCGGTCATGTTCTTTGTGGTCACGAAACGTATTTCTCAAGAAAAATCCTCTCTCTGACTGACACCTTGTCAAACTTTTTTCAAACGTTACTAAATTGGATTTACACAGATGATAGATAGATCTTTAGTCGATCTTTCGCGGACGTGACTGGTGGAACAACTAGATTCCCGCGGTAGAATGCTATCATCACAGATCGCATCGTGTGGACGGAGATATCGGAGGTATCCGAGAAACCGACTTGGCCACGTGCAAGTAAGACACGTGGTACACAGGGCCATTTATCGAATTTCGTATAGCATCCC